TATTTTTGTTTTTGCAAGATTTTTAAAATTAATGTCTGTCATACAGAAAAAAATGCGCTAAAATTTTATGTTATTTTACTAGTTTCGGTGACACAAAGAGAAACAAGGTATTTTAATCAAAATTTAGAATGGAAAAATTTTAAAAAATGATTAAAAAATATTTTGATCTTTCCTCTCAATAATAACATAAACATTTGTAACAGTCGAAATGGATAAGAGTAATTTCGACGAGTAAGAGCAGTAAAAGCAGTAAATAGGCCAATGATTATTATTACGCGACCGGAAGTGATCGGCAGTGAATCTAGTTACACAAAGACGGTAATGGCGGACGAATGACCGTGAGTAAGTCCGAATTTTTCTTGTCACTAACTCCAAAACGGTAGGTTTTTGATTGTTAATTCGAGTTCAGCATGTGCATTTACACGGAATATGGCGATTTGGGGAAAATTTAAAAGATATTTAGCGCAGGGATTAAAAAGCAAAGTTATCGAATAAATTCCATACATCTGTGATTTTTCAAGGAATTTCTTATTGTATTATTTTCACTATTTATATTCAGTCCTCGTCTTTGTTGTTGTTATCACACCGTTTCAGCCGTTGTACCCTCAGGCCTTCCTGGGGCGTATATCGTTCTGGGTAACCTACAGCAAATTCTGAACTGAACCCTTTATTTTAATCTCCGTTTGACCGTTCTGGTCCCATTGGTCGAGGAATATCTCGTCTAATTTGTATTTTTATTTAGTACTGTTCAATTATTGTTCTCTCGTTTCCATTGAGTGCAAGTACACACAGCTTGATCCAGGGAATGAACTCACAACGACTATGTCACCAAATTTACAATCCACTAGACAATTGTCGTTTTTATTATTACAAGAACTTTTCAGCGGTTGTGCTATCCGGCCTTCTTTAGTCGTCTGTCGATTTGTTTAATGAATTCCAAACATCTGTGATATTTCAGCTCCATATAAAATCAGATCTAGTAATGACAATAGAAATCTTTCTGATCATCATGCTCCTCCACCAGCTATCTTCTGCGGGAGTCATTATATGTTAAACGGTGTTTCATCCCAAGTCAGTTATTGGTGCAGAAGCTTCCATTATGGAAAAGATTCTTGGGCAGCCGTTTCAAAAGGCTTTCGAACGTTTACTATCTATTCAAACTGCTTGTAGTTCTTTTAATGTCTGATCTTTTGCAATCTGATAAATTTCTTCACTAAGGAGACGATGAAAGAGCGGAATACGTGAATTCTTACCATGATAGACAATGATGATTTCGTACGAATTAAAAACAAAATTTGCACCCGCCCTATACGAACTTACACAATCCCTATTCAGTGACACTCAATCTTGACTCACACTTGAGTCTTGTATTGAATGATCATTGTTTTAAAAAAAATCTCAAGCCAATAGCTGTCATTTCTTTCGGCGAATATCAATAAAGAATACAAGTGCTAATAAGTTTGTTCCTCGCCTGTTACTTTAAATCGAATTTTGTCCTGGCTTTGCATATTGCTGCTATATATGCCCTGGTGCTCCTGCTATATATTTAAATATCTTTGATAAAATCCAAAGAAGAGTCTGCAATGTTACTTGTCCTCATCTGGCATCTCTGTTTTAGTCATTTTTCTCATGCTGCTTCTTCTACAAATACTTTAATGGGAATTGTTATGATGAAGTTTCCGATATGATACCAAGATTCTATGGATTTAAGCGGTAAGGTCTCATTTTACGGTTGAAATGGCTCGATGTAACCGGAAGTTCTATGGTAATAGTTCATTTTTCTCAAAATTCTTGCTCATGGAACTTCCGGCTCTTTGCTTTCCGGTCAATTTTGATCTTCAAAAATTTAAATGTTGTGTCAATCCTTCTTCTTAATTCTTGTTTGTATATTTTGTTTCGCTCCACAATAATGTTTCTTCTTTTCTTATATACTTTCCCACTCTAAAACCTCCTGCGTCTTAGTGGCTTTATTGCCTTGCCTGGAGTGAAATGATTAAAAAAAAATCTATCAATGAAAATGTACTAGATAATAACTGGATTAAAGTTAACGAGTACACACGTCTGTCATAATGGCTAGTTGATCCCTGATGCAGACGCGCACTCAGACAAATTTGTGTTTCTTCAATACTCACAAAGCCAACCTGTGGTTTATATCATAACTATACTAAGAAGATCTTAGTTACAATTTCTGGGAGAAACGCATATTTTTAGCGGAGTGTTATTCAACCGGTGTTCCGCGAATGTCTCGGATTCCGTAAGAGACCGCTATGGTTTCAGAGAGAAACATTGATAAATAAGCTAATAGATTTTTGAGTAATTTTACTGTAATGTTTATTTTATTAAATATACTACACACGTACAGCATATTATTGGAAGAGCCTTGCTTATTACAATGGAAGGTCCTTGCTTATTACAGTGGAAGGTCCTTGCTTATTACAATAATGGATTCAGCCTCTTGTATTATTTAATATTATAATAAGCATAGCGAATGTATTTAGAGGCGTTTATATGTTATCGAATGTGCAGTGTGGTGTAATGGATATCGGCTCGGAATGAGAAATCAGAGAACCGAGTTCGAATTCCAGTCGTTTTCATTACATTCACTTACGCAAAAATACCCTTGGGAAATGAATCCAATATTCTCTAAATGGTCGGGATCATGTAGTTTTGATCGTCAAAAAAGAAAGAAATGGCAACTTACTGCGGGAAAAGCTTCTACCTTCTACCTGTATCACGTATGGAAGTTAAGTGACTATATGGCATCAATCCCATCAGTTTACAATTGAAATAGCTAGATGTAACCGCAAATTCTATACTAGCAGTTTCTTCTCTTGAACTTTATTTTTCGGTTTCTTGCTTTCAATTGCCACAAAAGTATTTATAGGAAAGGTAGAGAGAAGCCATGTTTCGGCAGTGATAAAGTGACTGGAGCCGAGATACGAGGTCAGGACACATAACATATATTAATAAATATTAAATAACGAATCCCTTTCAAAACGGATATTCCTAGCGCAAATCTAAAAGCTGCTCTTAAAAGATCTCATCTCATAGTTTAAAATCTTCTTTAATTCTCAGCATCCATAATTGCAATCTCGCAAATAGGATAATTGGATAAGTATAATGAATTTTACTTTCATTTGTTTTCCCTCTGCGTACTTGATCGAATTTAGGTTTCGGCTGATGCGCATCATTGTGTGGCTATTTCATCGATTATAATTGATTTTTCATATTAGTCCAGGGTATGAAGATAAACTACATCCGGCAGCAACGCCTCTGATTGGAGGTTTTGGGGAGAGTAGAACCATCTCTTTAAAATATAAGCAATACATTATTATATAAAAAATTACCAACAATCAATTTGTAGTGAAATTACCAACATTACATATTTATGGTAAAATTACCAGCAATATATTATTGTAACCTAGAGAAGGTTACTGAATAGAATAATCAAACTGAGGTTGGTAATGAACGATAAAACTTAGGACAAGAACAACACTATATGTGTTGTTCTTGTCCTAAATTTCACCAGTGGCACGTAGAAGTAGTCAACTGCTAAAAGTGAATCAAGTGAATTCCACAATGAGTCTCCAGCTGCAGGATATCTACCAACTGCCCCACGCGGTCAGGTATGGCACAAGGCTGAATTTTAATGTGGCGTACCCGAGCCTGTAGGCTCGGACAAAAATTCCGCGTAGACCCCGTATATAACGGGGTCGGGTAGCTGTTTTCCGATACGAGACTCTGCCCTTCGACAGAGCCTCGTCTGGGGATCCTCTCTGTATACTCATCCGGTCATTTATAAAGTTGCCGTCATATATGACAAAATGGCGGTAAAACATCGTTCTGCGGAAGTCTGCAGAATACATTGTGGCACAAAAAATCGAAGAGACCATTTCTAGAAAGGAATGACGTTAAAACAGAAATATTTAACATAAATGATTCGGCGCTAATGGCAACATAGAACAGACGGAAACAGAGATCGTTTTATTTAGTTTAAGTGGCTGACTGGATGTGAGATTGGGTGATTGATACACTGAAATTGAGAAAGCGACACGGTGATAACAAAATACATATTAGGAAAATGAATTAATGATCTTGCTAGCAGAAATAATGACGAAAGAGAGAGAAATGCTCCAAAGCTATTAGTGCATTGATAAAGAGATCTGTGGAACAATCTCTTTTGCAATCGATCTATCGATCAGCAATAGATATTAAATCAGATATTATCCCGCAAAAGCAGGTACAATAAAAACTGTTTAATTTATTTTCTTTTTTATAGTTCTTTCCCGGTTGGTGGCCTAACCTGCCTCTAATTATATTCTTTTTTTCAGTTTCTATATACGAGTGTTTTACTGAAGCATTGTTTTTCTTTGTTTTTATTACGTCTTTGTAGTTCTTCAGCTTAAAACAGGGCAGGAGATGACTCAGTGGGTATTCCATGCAACCAGAAGAGCAAAGAGACAAAAGACGAGATCTGAACATAAAAGTGCGTAACAAATTAAAATGAGGTTAACTAGTCTCTATATATATATATATATATATATATATATATATATATATATATACACACACATATATATACACACACATATATATACATATATATATGTGTGTGTGTATGTATAGACAGATAGATGTGTATGTGTGTAAAACAAAGAAATACTCAAATTTAGAATGGAAAATAAATAAAAACAATAAAAAAATTTTTAAAATGATTTAAAGAAAGAAAAAGAAGAAAAACTTGGATTTAGGATGGAAAGAAACAATAAACGTCGAAATATCAAAAGAGATTACTCGAAGAATAAATAAAAAAGAATGAAATTTTGAAAAAATGAAAATAAAAATTGGAAAAAAATGCTACAAAGAAAGAAAAAAAGAAAGAAAGAAAGAAAGAAAGAAAGAAAGTTTAGTGTTGAAAGAAACAATAAGCAACGAAATACCAAAATAAATAATTGGAAAAGTCAATAAAAAAAAGAATGAAAATTGAAAGAAAAATTGAATCAAAGAAAGAAAGTAAGAAAGAAAGAAAGAATGAAAGAAAGAAAAAAAATGAAAGAATTGCAAAATAACAAAATTGGTAAATAAATAAAAAGAACAAATATTGAAAACGAAAAATCAATCTGTATTTCTGAATAAGAGAAAAAAATCGAATTTAGTAAAAGAATGAATAAATGACAGAATACAAAAAGAGCGCATTGAAAAAATAAATAGTCAAGACTAATGCAATCTTGAATCGTGAAAGAATGATAGAAAGTAAGAAAAATCGAATTTAAGAAAGAAAGAAAGAAAGAAAGAAAGAAAGAAAGAAAGAAAGAAAGATAGAATAGAAATCGATTGAATGTATATTTTTCATGAAATAAAACAAAACAAAAAGAAGGAATTACAATAAAAGAAAGAAAGAAAGAAAGAAAGAAAGAAAGAAAGAAAGAAAGAAAGAAAGAAAATCGTGAGCGAAGAAAAAAATGGAGGGAAGAAAATAAAAAGGAGAGGAAAGGAAAACCTCAAACTATATTGACTAGATATAACGAAAAAGAAAAATTGATAAAAGAAAAAATTAAATCCATGAAAAATCTATGAAAAGGAAAGAGAAAGGGAGAATGAAGGAGAGCATATTGAATTTAGAAAAGATAAAGAATGAAAAAGTTGTATTCCAGAAAAGAAAAACGAAATTGGAAAAATCAAATTTAGGAAAGAAAAAATGAATAAAAACAATGAAAATTGAAAAAGACAAAAACAAGAACAAAAGAAAGAAATACTGTTGTATGAAAAAAAAAAAAGACAATGAAATAAAAATGACAGAAGAGAAAAAGAGGAAAGTGAAGGTATAAATAGAAAAAAAATAAAACAAAAAGTCAACAGATTTTCGAAACAAAGAATGAACGAATGAAAACGGAATAAATCGATTGGATAAAAAAAGAAAATAATGATCGAACAGCAAAAGCACTAAGAAAGTTAAACAGATTCATTTACCATACACATGAAGAGTTGAAATAAAAACAAAACGGGAAAGATTTTTTTTTAAAAAAAAAAATGGAAAAGAGCGAAGGATATATATCAATTAGATATTAACATATCAGGATAAATAAGAAAAAGAGAAAGGCCGAGAAAGAAAGAAGCAAGCAAAAATAGCATCATGACATAAGTACATTTGCCTAAACGATAGAATTAATGCAAAAAATACGAAAAACAATGTAAAAAAAAAACAGAAAAAGTTATGAAAAATCCTTTTTTCTTTCTGCATGTTTAGTTTTTATTTTTATTTTATTTTTTTTCCTTTTCTCCTCTGATTTTTTTTTTCTTTTTCGTGTATCCATTTTTATGAGTGTGTTTCCTGAGAGACAGCAGGAAATTGTGTGCGAAGCAAACGGAATTCGATCGTTACGGATTTGTCGATTTTCACGGCATTTTTTACAGATTAGAAACAGTTTCACTTGTTTTATGCAATGAATAAAAATCAATGTCCCGGCATGCTTCACAACCAGTTGAACAGCCCATCGGCTGGTTACGTTGATGAAGGGGGGCAATGTCATATGGTAGAGAATGGAAAAGAAAGGCAACGAGATCGATACCCACCCAACAGCTATGTAGATACTTGTTAAACTACCGCAATTTTAGCACAAGGCCAGAACATGGAGCGCCCAAGGCAGGATGAATTTACGACCAAGGCTCGAGAGACTAATGTGATATATCACTGAACGGCAGTTGCCTCAAGCAGAAATAGAGTTTCACTTCTTTATTTTTGTTATTTCATTGTACTTTGGTATTTGGTGCCAATCCTCCTACTCCACTTTCTCATTCTACTATTTAATTTCCTTATTTCTTCCTCCTACACAATCTTCTTTCTTTCTTTTCGAATTACCACTCTCTCTCTCTCTCTTTTGTTTTCTTCTTCTTCAATTTTATTTCTCTTTCTACTTCTTACCTATTTTTCGTTCTTTCTTTTATTCCATTCATCGCTTTTATTATTCTTTTTCCATTTAATACCTCTTTTTTATTTCTTACCCATTCTTCTTTCATTCTAATATTCCACTCATCGTTTTTATTCTTCTTAGTTTTCTTATCATTTTTCTTTTTCTTCTTCAACTTAATTTCTCTTTCTCCTTCTTGACGTTTCTTATTCCTTTCTTTTCGAAACATCGCTCTTCATCTCTTTTCTTCTTCTCTTTCAATTTTATTTCTCTTTATTCTTCTTATTAATTTTTCGTTCTTTCTTTCATTCCATTAACCGTTTTTATTATTCTTCGTTTTCTTCTTATTATTTTTTCTTTTTCTTCTTTTCCTTCAATTTAATTTCTCTTTCATCTTCTTGATCATTCTTCTTTCTTTCTTTTCGAAACATCGTTCTTCTTTCTTCTTCTTCTTCTTCTTCTTCGTCTTCTTCTTCAATAATCTTTCTTTTTTTCTTGTTACCCATTTTCCTTTCTTTCTTTTATTCAATTCATCGCTTTTATTCCTTTTCGTTTCCTTATTAGTTTTTCTTCTTTTTCAGTTTAATTTCTCTTTCTTCTTCTTACTAATTTTCGTTCTTTCTTTTTATCACATTCATCGCTTGTATTATTATTATTATTTTTTTCTCATTTTCTTCTTTTCTTTAAATTTAATTTTTCGTTCTCCTTCTTGGTCATTCTTTTTTCTTTCTTTCCGAAACATCGCACTCCCTTCTGTTTTCTTCTTCTTCTTCAATATTATTTCTTTTTCTTCTTCTTACCCATTCTTCGTTTTTTTCATTTATTCCACTCATCGCTTTTATTCTTCTTCGTTTCATTATCAATTTTTTCTTCTTTTTCAATTTCTTTTCTCTTTCTTCTTCTTACCAATTCTTTGTATTTTTATTCTATTAATCACTTTTCTTCTTCTTGTTTAGGAACGAAGAAAGAGAAATTAAATATTTCTCTTTCTTCTTACCCATTCTTATTTCTTTCTTTTTCCAATCATCGCTTATCTTCTTCTTCTTCTTCTTCTTCTCACATTTCATTTTCTTTCTTTCTCTTAACTCTCCTTTTCGGAGATTATTGCTTTATTCCTCCTATTCTTTACCACTCTTTAACTTTTGGGCTTCTTTTTAACGGTCATCGCTATATATGTATAAGAATCACTTGATAATAACAGCGAAGCTCGAGCTCTAGTTCTGGTTATCTCGAAAGCATTTCACAAGCTCTGGCAAGATGTTCTTCTACTTAAGCTCTAACGCTACGGTATTACTGGACATGTGTTTGATTTAATCCAATTATTTCTATCGAAACGAGAAATGAATGTCATTTTGAACGGTCTCGCTTCCAGATCATTTCACACGAACGCGGGTATCCCCCAAAGATCTATTCTGGGTTCTACGCTGGTTTTAATCTTCACCAATGACCTCCCTGTTGTCATCAGTGCCCAAATAGGCATTTATGCAGATGACACTACCATTTTCTCCTGTCTCACCGTCAGAGATGACAAAGTTACCCTGGCCGCTGCTCTCGAAAAGTTTACTGATAAGCAAAAAGAAGACCATCATTTCCTCATTCTCCATTTGGCCTTGTGCCACATTTTTGTATGTCTTACGAAATAAATATCGCACTTCGCTATGGAACATAGACTTTATGAATTTAAGCACAGTATTAGACTGGCGACGATGTCTCACCAATTTACAGGTAAATGGCTTAGATGTAACTGTAAGTTTTATGCTAACAGTTTATTTTCTTGCACTTATCTCTTGTGGGACATTCTTCAAAAATGTATATGCAATGTCAATCGCTATCTACTATCCTCTTGATTACTCATATTCTGTTCCCGCTATCTACTGTACTCCTGATTAACCATCTTTTGTTCCCGCTATCTACTGTCCTCTTGATTACTCATATTTTGTTCCCGCTATCTACTGTACTCTTGATTACTCATATTTTGTTCCCGCTATCTACTGTACTCTTGATTAATCATCTTTTGTTCCCGCTATCTACTGTACTCTTGATTACTCATATTTTGTTCCCGCTATCTACTGTCCTCTTGATTACTCATATTTTGTTCCCGCTATCTACTGTCCTCTTGATTACTCATATTTTGTTCCCGCTATCTACTGTCCTCTTGATAACTCATATTTTGTTCCCGCTATCTACTGTACTCCTGATTAGTCATATTTTGTTCCCGCTATCTACTCTACTCATGATTACTTTTACACGTTAAGGATAGAACTGGGAGAACAAAAGAATGTAGTTCGTCTGAACAATTTCCATGGAAGTAGCAATCATGCAGCGAGAGGCTTACAACGTTTCATCTGTGGGAAGGGGTTGTAGAGTGTAAATTAAACACCAAGTTGAATTCTGGGTATGTTGCGTGCGTGTATCTGGCCAAACAGGTTTTGGAGAGGCTGTCTAAAACATAATTTGGATTTCAGGAAACATCGTAATGTTTGGTACCTGTCTCCCATTTGCTCAATGAAATTTAAATCTAGCGAGCTCTGGAGTGAAAAATGTATCTGGAAGTCAACCAAATGTTTCTAGAACGAGTTTCCTGTCGCAGGCAAACATACCGAGGAAAAAGTTCTACAAATTAACTGCAACAAAGTCTGTAATCTCTGTCAGGACAAACTGTAATTTCGAACACTAACAGAATACACTGCACATCATTATGTGGACCCAGAATGTTTGTCCAACACCCGGCTAGCAAGCTGGATCCATGGCCTCTACGAAGTCTCCTCTACACGGTAGCGTAGTCGTATAGCTGTAAATGCTAGAAACGAGATTTATGCGAATAGAATACAAAGAAAATATCTTATTGAAAGGTTGTTGGAGATTTTTTTTATGCTATAGATATTATGTTAATAGCTTGGCTTGGTCGAGGCAGACGAAAAGTTTATTGCTTTTCTTTAATAAATACCTCAAAATGAGATATGTTTTTGTTATATAGAAATAAAGTGTCGCTGCCGACATTTGAGTTTGAACATAGATCGCCAGTGAGAAAACACAGGCGATCCCATTATTGAATTAAGCAGATCACGTGACCCTAGAGGAAATGAATATATGGGAATTAGCGTGGCGTCTAATTGGTCTGCCTTTCTAGTCTACCCTCTATTACTATACGGACCGCTATTCTATACTCTATTCACTATACTATTTCTCTATTCAGATTACTACACAGATTACTATTCGGGCGAGTATTATCGAGCAAATGCTATTAGTGCGAGTGATATTCGAAGACATCAGACACCAGTATTGTTCAACGGCGTTACTATAGGCGTATCTGCGATTGTAGCCTCTACTACAACTAGCATTACAAAAGTGACACGAGTATTCGTTGACATCCCAAAATTGGCAACGAGTGTTCGTTGACATCACAAGAGTTTTGTATTTTTAATGTAAAATACAACATATCAGTAACTATAGTGTATTTACTTTTATTCTGATAAAAAAATAATCACTTAACTATAAAAGAATTATTATACAACAGCATCATATTTTGTTTCGTTATCACTGACGAAAAAATGTTGCTAGTGTATGATAACGACCAACTGCCTTAATTACTGTTTTACAAAGTGTGGGCATTATTTGCGACAGTTTTTGAAAAAATTTAGATGGCAGTTCTTCCCAAGCATTCTTCAACCACTGAAAAGACCACTCTCACGCTTTGAGTATTCTTTTCAAACACCCCTATCCAATTCATCCCATACAAATTCAATGGGAGACAGGCCAGGAGATTGAGGTGAACATGTCATAATTTCCAAAATGTTTTCCTTTTTTGACTCGAGGTAATTTTGACATAGACTACTGTGTAGTTGAAAGATGAATTTTTTCCCAGTTATGCATTAACCAGATGGTAGAGAATGTCTTTGCAAAATCGAATGATATTCCTTTATTTTTGTTTTATTTTTTTCATGATTCCCTTGACCTGAATCAAATCGTTAGCCATTTTTGTAATCTCAGAAACTCTTCTGAGAGTTTAATGGTGAGAACAAAATGTTTCCTATAGAGAATATTCATCATTTAGTTGTCTGGAGAAAGATGGAAGAATAACAGAAAATACATTTTTGTCACAAGATTTTTATGTTTTACTTTAAAAAATACGAAAATAACTTATTTTAATGTGTTTTTAAAGAAATGTAGGTTGGTCCAAAACTTTTTCCATGTAGTGTGACATATTCGATTCTCTTTTCGCTCTATGTGATAAAGGGCTCATGAATAAGTGGTTGTTTCTATCCAAGCTATGATTAATGAATGTGCCACTTTTTATCAATTTACCCCCATGCAAGGCGATAATGCCACTAAGACGCAAGGCGTTACTGAAAGTGAAATAGAATGAAAAGACTTTAGAAAGAACTGGAAACCCAAACCTAAACAGGAAATAAGGGAAAAACTGGTTTAAAAGATCGGGAGGAGTGTCAACCGGACTATTTGCAGAACGCTGCTCCCCACGAACTCACGAAGCACTGAACTGGAATTGCGAATTACTTCCTATTCTACAAATAAAGATTTACTATGCTTGATTATGGGCTGTAGGCGGTTAGAAAAAAGAAGCAACAGAATTCAGACCTACACTTTTGACCCTTAAACTTCAA